CGCTGCCTCGGCACGCCGGCAAGCCGGCGGACTATGAAAGCAGCCACTCAGCCCAGAGACTTCTCACAACCAATGCTGCCGGTCAGACTTCTGGACGAAAGCTGTTATCGAAAGGATGCCCGCGTGTTTAACGAGAGAGGATGCTCTATTGGGAGCCCGCTCAAAGGAAGTAATTATCGACGGGACAACAAAAGCAGGCGATAAATCCGCATAAATCGGAAATTGATTGGGAGCGGCGAAAGTGCACTGCCTAATTATAGTCGTTATGCTGTACCGCTACGCATTTTGCTGACTTCTCGCGACGCGCAAATTCGTGTGCAACGTTGACCTTACATAATTTTGTTCAATGTATCGTAAGTTGGACCCTGAACAGCCATTCTTACAACTTTTCCGCTTTAGCGCCAATTCCTGATGGGGATATCTGAATTCTCAAGAGCGCTGCCTCATATCTGCGCTCATGAAAGGCTAAGAAACTCGTGACATCTACAACTATCTATCAGCAAGAGTCCCCTCTGTTTCTGTAGTTGATACCTTTTGAGGAAGAGTCGTGTCCTCCACGAATGCGAAAATGTAGCAGTATCAGTGTGAGGGCCCAGTTTACAGGACGGCTCATAGAGAACCCCAATCAAAGCAAGCATGTCTGGTAGCTGCAAAGGGCTGATAATGGGCATCACCTGAAAGTTGTTTGTAAAATCTTCGCTCAAGTTCAGGATCAAGCTTCACCAAAGCTAAAAGCCACCAGGCGAAGCATGACAGTCACATCAAATGAATGGCTATAGCAGTGACGAAGTCCGTCCTGTCGTCTGTCGACAGGATCAGTGATCGCACAGTTGCTGTATAGGATAAACAACAGATTAGACAATAATAACCTGTACGCTTCACCAACAATAACTCTCAAGAATGTGGGAATAGGTTCCGTCTGAGCTTGACAGTGCTGCTAAATCATTTCCTTGCAGTGCCTGCCTCGCAGAACAAGAGACTTGGAGCTCTGAAGGAATTCGAACGGCAGTGAATCAAGTGCTCATGAAAAAACTGTCATTTTTCACTGCTAAGAATATCAAGGGACATCGTTGCGAAGAGTATGTTCCGCATCATAGTCCTATCATAGCACGCATGAATCGAATGAAAGCTGGTCCCCTTTAACCACAGAAACCAGTTCGAGGTCATTCCACACTACATTAAAAACACTGTTGAGGTGAGGGGTGGGTCTGGAGGTGACGAAGCAGTGTGGTCGTGGTGGTTCAATAGTTTGTCAAGCAGAAGACAAACGCAAACAAGCACAAAAAACAAGTTTTGGAACGCCTAGCTCACTACAAGATTTGCAAGAAGATTGTCGAGGCAGCCATAGAGAAGGGAACAGAACATGGGAGTGAGTGGACGCCTTGAACCAAAGGATCGACGATTGAAAAGGAGAAAAATAGGTTCTGGCTGCTCAAAGTCGGCACCAAGTAATCGAGATGTCGCGGTAATCAGAGCCATAGAAAACAGCGGCGGGCATCCTCAGAAAGCCAGCCGAGGTCGGGCGCCTGCGACAAGAATACATTGTTGAGTTGCCGAAGCTGAAATTAATCTGTGAGACGGAGAAGGTGGTGGTTGGAGGGTAACTGGTCTGGATTGCTAAGTATTCAGGCATGAAAGCGCTCGTTCTGCCCCGAAACAGGCGGCTCACCTGATTCCCAAAAACTGTGACTGCTGGAGGAGTGTGCTAGATGCCTGGATAGGCAAAATTATTGTCTCTATCTTCAGAGAGAAGGGTGACGCGATAGAGTGGTTTGTCTAACTGCTTTAATCAGAAGGACTGCACATACCATGAAACTGTCAAAGCAGCTAGTGAACACAGAATAAGGAAGTTTGTCTTAATCTCTTGGAGTAATTCGGCTTATGCCAGGAAGTGTTACTGATATCAGCTTAATGGCCAGAGAAGTAGTGGAGAAGTATCGAGCGAGCGTAGATCCTGCTACCTAGCCTTTCGTGATCTGAAGAAAGCGTCCGACCGCACATGGCGACCACTATTCTGGAAAGCGCCGAGACGTCTAGAAAATCTCGTCTCCTTCGACATGAATATGTACGAACCATACATAACGAAGCAAGAAAGTCGTACTTATTACTTATGCCTAGCAAAAGCAATAGAAGAAGGCGAAGACGAAAACCAAGAATAAAGAATAAACGAAGTAATACAATTCTCAAAGGACAACGTATATTTCCCACCGTATGCTTGATTCTGTTTTTGTGGAACCGCGTGCTACTCACCTCTTCATATCCCTTTGTCAGTATAGGCTTCCTTATAGCGGGCAGATCGACTTTCATCCCCATAAAAACTTCATAATATCGAAATGGATGCAAGGATAGGTACTCTGCCACACCGAGAATGAAGTTGACGGCACCGAATTTTTCACTGATGTTCTCAGATTTAAAGGCGATCAGGTCCCGGTTATAGAAGACATTTCGGCTTTACGAACGCTGCTCAATCTGAATCATAGCGAAGTTCTCAGCAGAACAACAAGTGGTCCTGTAGCTGCATCACCTTGGTACTAACGATGTTCGTTTACTTACCGCGGAGGATCTGACTACTTTCAAGTGAGCAGGAATCATTTTTGCACTAAAGTCCAGGTGGTTATCAAGATCACTTGTGCTTCACCAACTTCGCGCCTTCCTTTACGCGTAGTTGTTGTCTTAGGTGTCGTAGTCGTCGTAGAGAGCATGCCTTGATTTGAGGTTTCGGCGCTTCTCCCAGATGACCTCTCAGCCTACGAGAGCTTCCCATTCCCATGAGCAACTTACCAATGAGAACGTGGACTTGAGGCAGGGATAAAGGTCTGGGGAACACCCTACTTTTATTTGTTCCGTAGAGCATTGTGGCCGTTATGAAACCCATTTCGCTGTCATGAAAATGTTTGTAGAAGATTGCCTTTCTGAAGGATCGTGAGCAACGTTTCATTTACGAATGTAATAGTAGGAAAAAGTTCAAACATTTGTTGAAAACCCAACGTAATGTGCAGAATTCCCGATAAGAAAAATATCGTAATGATGAGCAGATCATGCATGGCTTACTGTAGAGTACCTATTACTTTTTGAACTACTGGGACATTGCCTGGGTGAATAAGAGGAGCAGATCTTCAGTGGCGAAGTATGTATTTGAGTTTATGATTTTTGAATTCGCTGAATTTTCTTTTCGTTTTTGTGAAAATCCAAGCGAGGTAATGTTTTGCAAACATTCACAAAATTGGCAAAAAGAACCCCATGCGATTGCTTTGCTTTTAGTACGAACGAAAAGTGCAAGATCGCAAAACTTGCCATCAAGCAGATTGTCATAGCTCACCTAGTTGCCCTTGTGGGCTCCTTGCAAGCCACTCACAAAAAGAATGGAAGCTCCCACAGACTAACCGTACAAGCGATGAATTCCACTAATTTTCCCAACGGTTCAGTAGCAGATTTTGGCTTGCTCTCAAAAGCCATCGACAAAAAATAGTTCAACGTTTTCGGAGCAGGTAAAGACAACAAATACCAAATCCAACAGCCATCCACTTCGACCAAAGAAAAGCCCGAGGCTGGTCGAGCACAAGTAGTCTTCGTAGCCCCATTAGGATCTTATTGCCAGAATAATTCCGCCGATTCTGTAGACACTCACATCAGTTGCAAATGATCGAATAACGAAGGATAAAGGTTGGAGAATGCTCGTTACTTCTGCAGTGCTTTTAGTTGTCGACTGTAAACAACGCTATTATTTAGGGTGGGGTAGCATGCGAAAAGCTAATTGTCGATCGTGAAGAGCTCTACGGGACTCCGTCACGGATTCTCCGGATTTTTTGCGAAAACTTTTCTTTTCTGCTAGTGGAGACTGTTGCCAGTACTCAGCGTCAATCTTATAATGAGAGCTAATCATTTGAGTGATTGCTGTTTGTTCCTGTTGTTTTTTAGGGTTCAGCTTTGGCTTTGGTTTTGCTCCTTTTTGCATTTTTGAGGATTTTAAGCGGTCTCTAGCCGAGTCGATCCCGTGGTCATACATGGGGTAGTGACGTTTTCTGCTACTGCCGCTACTCCACTTCGCTGGGCAATACTTATGGAGGGCAACATGTTACATTTGCATATAAACAGCTCGTCCAAATACCACTTTCATACAACTCCTGTCTCACATTCTCGTTCACTCCCTGAGTTTACTTCTTTTTCAAAGTTTTATATTTTTCTCAATACGACGATTTCCGCGTTTTCTTTGCCAATTTTGCACTATTCTAGTCAATCACTCCCATCACTCGTCCAAAACTATTAAAACATAAGAATTATAGAAACCCCAAGATAATCGTGATCTGTGCCTTTAAAAGGTTGGAGCTCAAAACTCAAACCGAACATCAGCTCCGAAGTTTAAAGTTTTTGGCCTTAATCAATCCCGTCTGAGGGATACGTCTCTGCACTTCACATCCATTCAGAATTGTAGGTCGTTATGGGCCTAATTTTGTAATAATGGGAATGTTTGTAGAAGATTGCTTTTCTTGAAGGTAGCGACAACGGTTTCATTCACGAAAACAAAAAACGATGAAGCACATATTGGAGCAACGACACAACGTGTCGCCTCCGAAACCGTTTGAATTATCGCCCATTAAACTGTTTCAGAACGCTGTCTGGTAATGGGAAAGGCAAGAAGAACTGGGTAATGATTTTTATATTTTTAGAACGCTTTCTTTTTTGTTCTAACGTCGTGAGCGCTCTAAGGTCAACCTTCTACGAACATATTCATGTTTGTCAAACTGCTTCCATAACGGTCGCATCGCTCACTGAACGAATAAAAGGGGGCCAAATTTGCCGAGGTAGAGAATCCCCATGCTTCGTCTAGTTGTCTTTGTCAGCATCGTCATTCTTTCTTTGGTGAGTTCCTGAGAGGGTGGTAAACGCTCTCGCGGGACAGTTATTAGGAGAAGCCGTAAGACGCATGTAGATAAAAAAGGTTTCTAAAGTATGAAAGGAGTTTCCTCCGTGGTTCAGGCTTGTCACCCACAGCCAAGTCCAACAAGTCCATGTCCGGAAGATACTAGTCCGGAAGATACGACTGAACTCCCAGTCAAAGTAAAAAGCCCACAGACGCAGGCACAAGTCATCATAGAAACATATCAGGACTTCGATGAAAAAAAGACTTCTATTTATCTGAAGGCAATCAGATCGTTGGTAAGTGATGGTATACTGGTAGAGAGCCAGGTGAGGTGGCTACTTAGTTGCATCTCTTCCTACTGCACTACTTTCCAAGACGATGTTAATGACATTGCTAAGAACGCTGTTATTCAGGCTGAGCTGCACGCGAGAAGATTCCACGCCAACCAAAGATTCGATGCGGAACCAATGAATATCGATGGGAAATTTGCTGTCGTCTTTACCATATATGATGTGGAGTGCAGTGAGGTATACACCGTAGCGTTTGCACACCCATTGTCATAGCCAATGCCATTAATTCTAGCCAGAATGTAAAAGGATCACCTTGAGAGGGGTATACGGAGGTAAGGGAGACGGATATTAGGAACGATTTTGGGTAATCGATTTGCCGCACGCGGCTGTCGCGAACCGCTCATTAGCCATTGTTACAGCTCTAGCGTTCTTCATGCAGCTCAATCCATATGCGATCATTATTTTATGCATAATTCTACTATTAGTACTTTTGTTTTTGTATTACTTANCTCCTGCTACATTCCTTCGCGCGCGACGCCCCTCTCACCGCGACGCGACCATTTCGTTCCTAACGCACCACACCGCGGAGGTAAGTATACGGAGGTAGCCAGGGCAAATGTGGCTGAGTGTGACACCGACTACCCAAATAGCGTGCCCTATTGAAGGGACAGTTGACATAAAAACCCTTTATAATCTGTGTCTCCCTCGTACACCATATGTGTCGTTGTCAGGGTGGAAAACGGTTTAGATAGGGCGTTATTAAGACTTAAACATTGTCCCGTGTGTACGTGCGGACGAGTTTCAACTGCATTGTGCAGACTGCACTATTCACAGAGGAGCCTATGCTAGACAGTTCAAACCATTTGTCATAGCCCACACCAACACTGAAAGTCAATTCTGGATAGTTTCAGCTTGATGTAGTCAGCTCTTGGCGCAATTGTAACAAATGAATATCCGAATATCCTTTACCCAAGTGTTCCCGTCACGGTGATCTCGTACAACTCCTATTTCTACTACTTTTAGATGACCTTGTTTTTCGCAAAATCGGCGCATTTTCTAGTTTCCTTTACCACCGATGCACTTTTCTTAACCAATGGCCTTTTTTGGGAACTTTACAAGGTTGCCACTGAAAAAATGGATATTGTAGGAGAAGGAAAAGCATGTAATTCCAAAAATTTTGTTGAATTAATGGGTGTATTTTCCATTTCCAAAAATTCTACTGCCTAAAAATATGGTCTTTCAGTTGAAAGAATTCATCTCGACGGTGGAAGGGCTATCAGAGCGGACAAAGAAAGTCACAATCAAATGCGGCGGCAGTACAACAATTCTGTAGCTGCCCAATTAAAAAATCTCAGTGGAATAAATAGTATCAAACATTCAAGCGTATATTCCAAAACATCAATTCGAAGGTTTGGAGACACTCTGAGGCGTATGTGACCTATACATTGACTTGTAATATCAACCACTGTACAATCGGTGCTGTAATCCTTCCAAACGAATCGCCAATCAGCCGACCCCAGAGGGATGGAAGGCTCGGTTGGTCGGATGGAAAGCCAGTAATCTAGAAGGATTTTAAAATCTTGGAATCTTTTAAATTCTTCTTCTTCTAGTCTGTGCCGATCATTCAAAAGCTGACCTCGAACATGGGACCAACTGTATACTACGTAATATACTTGTGGACGAGGGAAGAAGGTGGTGGGGCTGACATAATTTCAAAAGCAGAGAAGTTCCAAGACAACATTTCAGGATGAATTTCCGCAGTAGGAGGGTCCATGCTTTTTTCAATGTTTTTAGAGCTATCGAACGACTGGGAAGGTTCTGCTGGTCAAAATTGAAGACTGAGTAAGGGGCGGCGTCGGTGCACAACACTTCTCTTCCTATCGCACGATAAGTCTTTAGATCCTTTGAAAGCTCCGAATAAGTGGGAAAAGCGTAGTTACAAAGGCTGTTGTTGTTTATGAATTGTCCATGACTCGAATTTTTGAACGAAGCCCCAGATTGGTCTCAAGCCAATCGACTTCCATGTTCAAATTGCCGAAGGATGCTTTAGGCTTGTTTCGAGCACCAACACTTTACTGTTTTTCAGTAAAGGGGTAATTTTGCTGGAGTTGATCCTCTTTCCGGGATGCGCCACCGCCTTCGATATATTCGTAATAGCGTTTCGAATGCCAATGTGACCTGTACAATGACTTGCGGTGGCCAACCTATTACAAGTCGGGGCTTACATTCTCCCAGACGAGTCTGGTACCAATCGGCTTTGGAGGAATGTAAGGCTTAGTTGGCTCAGGAGGATGCCGATCCGGGATCCGATTCCCCCATATGTGTAAATGGTATTGCGCCTTTACCACTATACCACCTCCGTCCACAACTATTATACTTCCTATTAGCTCCCAGTAAGTAATGCCAGTCAAGTCATGGCTCTCTGTGAGTCATGTCCTTTTCTTCCAACACAAGGATATCCGTCGAAAAGACATTCAGAAAGTCGATCCGGTTCCTAGCTGGATTTCTACTGAAATATGTATAAGCTCAGTTATTAAACTGCTGAATTGTGACTATTTTATGAAGAAAAAACAAGCAAAAAAAATGGTTTTTTCAAACTTAACTTGTTCCTCTGCCGGGTTATGCGCTGGATAATCTCCTTCGTGGATGAAGTTAAGTAATAACTTCCGTCGACCATGCTTTTGTATGCCGCCCAGTTTTCCCAGGTCCTGTGTCGCTTGTTGGTCGCTGGGTAGATTCCCGAGTTCTACAGGTCTTTCTCCATCGCTAAACAATCCCCTCTGAACAATCTGGTCATCGGAAACGGGTATGAGAAGTCGTGAGTCTTGGCTTGGGCTAGGTCTCTGACATGAGCTAAGTTCATGTTCAAAAATCTCTGTACTTTTGAGGTAAAACCAGCAAAATAGCGCACTTTGCATTGATAATTGGCTGCGAAAACATTACTTACTATTCATTAGGCAATGATTAGTGCAAGAGCTTTTCCTTTCTGAGAGCCAATTTTTCGATTTTTTTCTTCGACTTGTTACTAGTTTCCTATTTTGTACCTTGTAAATTGGCTCTGAAAGTGCTGCCAAGTAGAAACAGCTTTTCTCGGAAACTTTGCTTGTCATTTCAAAGAAAATAGGCTTATTGTTGGCTAAGGACATAGGCGAATAGGAGAAAAAACCGTCGATTTCAAAGAATTGCAACAAGTTCAAAGTCGCTGCTATGGCATTGACTTGGAAGCCCCTAGCGGCATGGAAAAAACCTTTCATTGCTGTCTATTGGGTCTGGGCACTTACTTTGTGTCTAATTCCGATCCAAATATGATGCCCAATTGCAAATCTGATTCCCATGGTGATTTAGTAGTAGCGTTTCCTACTACTGCATCTCCTTTACCTCATTAACTACATAAAGGGCAACTAGTTAATCTCAACTCTGATGTCTATTTCAGGTATATGCGGTGTTTGATCGTCTGTGGCTCAGGACTGGATGACTTACTCCAGCGCAAAGACCTCGTGACATACCAACTTCCAGAACCGACCATATCTTCAAAGAACGTTCTATGAGACACAATGGGTGCCCTGGGAATTTGAACCCATTTCTCAGTAACGGGTGAAAGTCAACTAATCACCCCTTGAATCCCACTTTATCAGTGTATCCTTCCCCAGAGGCCTAGAATATAACGGGTTCCCAGAGCTTCCGGAACGAACGTCTTCAACTCGGGTGATGTTTAGTGATAACCTACATCTCCCGAATGTACTTTAGCATAAGTCTATGTAAATACATGGGACTTGAGGCTGAGAGGTCTGAATTATTCAGTTTTCCCTCTTATTTATTTTTATTTTTGAACTGATCGCCGTCAGGGAGATCTCTGATCTATTCCCGTCAATCCAGGCGCACCTTTCGGGAAGACGTGGTTGATTCATCGACTTTCCGTCAGAGTTCGATTTCTTTTTCGTTTCTCATTTTAATTCTCCTTTATCGGCTCCCTTTTTTATTTCCATGAAGACTTAATTTCGTTTCCTAATCAGAGAGCTAGCCGTCAACTTTTTTATACTAATCTCAGTGCCTTCATGTTAATGAGGAGTAGACAGTGAAGTGGATCACAGCTTCCTTTCGTGCCCTAAGCTACAATTCTTCTTCTCAAATACTTTGTCAAAATCATTTATTTGTTTTTCTTCTTTATTTATTTCTCGGTATGCATGGGAGATTGCTACAAATTCATGTAACTGGTACAATATAATATTGAAGAATAAACAAGTAAATAGGTTAAAAAGTAGAACTCAGATATGATTGGTATTATATGGTACGGATGATCCTTACTGAATTCGAAACATCAGATCAGTCTAACTTTGAAACCATCTTAGCTTTCGGATACGGAATCAGACTTTCCCAGTGTATTAATAAACAGAGGCGCGCACGATGGTGAGAGAGGCTCTACTTCATAATATCGCTCGTAATTGCAAAAAATACGAATTAGTGTTATATTGTTAATTTGAGGGGTAGTGTAGTGGCAAGTGGCGCACAATCACGCACACATGGTCCGAGGATCATTTCTTGGGTTGATGCTCGCCTAGGTTAGCGAAGCCTTCCATCTCTTCAGGGTAGGTCAATTGCTACCACTATTGTCTGGGAGGATTAATGCACTGAATTGTACATTGGCTGGCCACCGCGAGTCATAGGCCACGTTCGCATTCATTATGCCTCTACGATTCTGAATGAAAGTCAAACTGGGGCGCGTACCAAAATGGGAATGATTAAAAGCACAGTTCACGATAATTTTGGGTAATCCAGACTATGATGAAAAATGGAAGACAAGATCGAAAATAATGCGACTGAGATGAAGAAACTGGTGCACCGGTGTTTCCAAAGTGGAAAAGGCTCCGAAAAACCGATAAAAAGGGGGCTGGACGAGAGTGATACCAGAAAAATTAAGAAGCGTGGCGTCCGGGCGAGCTAAACAGTGTGTTTCACTGCACGCGTGT